TCAGTCGCTGATACTAAGAAAACCAGAGTTCATACCTCATGTGATCCAATCTGTAGAAAGTCCACTATTAGTACTGCTAGCTTAGGATAGAACCCAAGAGACTACCATACAAACCAGTTTAGCAATAATATCTAGATTTTGAGTATTTGAATACCTATACAACATTGGTCATAAATTCTATATATCAGTCACGTTTGACAAAATGTTCTGATGATTGACTGTCCAAATAGGTCTAGGTTAAGGACGAGAAGAGTCGAAATTAGTATTGCTTATTTAGCATTTTTTCGGAAATATTTCTCGATTTTCGTAAAGATTAGATTGTGTTTTATGACTTACATTGTAAGAGAACATGATAAGTTCTTCTAAAAACCGTAGGCAGTGCTATAATCCTAAAATAAACTCAATTTCGAGCTGAAAATTTGACTACAGAAACTTTACTCAAAAGATTCTCATTGGGAAAATTGTTGGTAGAACTAAGCATTATATATGGAAATATCGTTCGAAGTAGCGAGGAGGAAGGTGCTGGGAGATTCTTAGCTTTTGTATATAACCAATATTGAAATTTCAGCAACAGCAACATGTGCTACCGGCTACTCACGAGCACCATCGGGACTTTGTGTCAATACCAGAGCCCGAAAACGAACCGAACTCGAACCGAACTAAGACGGTTCGGTTCGGTTCGAGTCGAACCGAACCGATCTCGATCCGTTTTTTTTTAAATTTAGTCGAACCGAACCGAACCCGAACCGCTCTTTCAAAAACGTAGTCGAACCAAACCGAACCCGAACCACCCTTTTTAAAACAGAATCGAACCGAACCGAACTCGAACCACTTCCTAAAAAGGGACCTTAAGCTGAACTGCGCCTAACTAATTTTTGAAAAGCGAATAAATATGGACAAGTACATAAGAAAAATGATTAGTTGAGCTATAATCTTTTTTGTAAGATTGTGATGCTATATGGGATTATCAAACGATCTTTAATCGAACATTTGACAGCAGGGATTGTGGACGATCAATTTATATTTACAAAAATTTATCAAGTCAAGAAATCAATTGTAAAAGATTTCATTTTATTTTGAATTTAAATCGAATTTGTACAAAATTCAAAACAATTCAATAAACTCAAAATAATTTAGATTACATCTAAATAAATTTGAAGTGTTTTAAGCTACATTTTAATTAATTTAAGTTTCACTTTGTATAGTTATCTATAGAAATCAAAAGAAACCTTTTATCTCTCAGGTCTACTAGCAATGGTATTTGTACAAGCTTTTTATTATCGTTAGAAAATAATAGGAACGGAGCACGGCCGTTTTCTTACGGGATCTACTATAGTGATGATCGGATGTTAACGTATAATAGCAGTTTCTCTCTTTATTTCTGATCTATTTTTCTTGAAGTCATGTATTTTGACGATTGGGCTGTTGCATTTTAATTCACAAAAAATTATTACTTCCAGAAATTAATTCTCAAAAATTTAAATCTAAAATAATTTTAAATTTATTTCACATAACAATTTAAATTTATTGTAAATTAAAATTTTGGTATCAGAAAAATTTTATTTAATTTAAATTTATATTGGCAACAGTTTTAGTTGAAAATAAACTTACAGGAAAATGGCACGCCTATCAGGAACCGAACCGAACTATAATGGTTCGGTTCGGTTCGAGTCGAACCGAACCGATCTCGAACCGGTTTTTTAAAATTTAGCCGAACCGAACCGAACTCGAACCGATTTTTTTTAAACATAGTCAAACCGAACCGAACTCGAACCCACTTTTTAAAGACATATTCGAGCCGAACCGAACCCGAACCAATTTTTTAAAAAATTAGTCGAACCGAACCGAACTCGAACCCGTAAAAGTCGGTTCGATTCGGGCTCTGGTCAATACCCAAATCGACTTTTACAACTGTGGTTCATTCGGTCATGTGTGTACCTCTAACTATACAAGTTGCTCCGGTGGTGTTTGCAGCATGGCTCCTGCTGTGCAGCTTGCCAATGCTATCGGTAGTTTCGGTAATATTAATATCGATGATTCATATACAACGATAAATTTGCCGCTTAAAATATCCATGTACAATTATTCAACTTCGTCTGTATCTGTCAGCAGTAACGGTGTAAGTCTTCCATTAACTGGTAGTTTAGCAGATGTAAAAAATTGATCAGTGTATTCTAAAACTCTCCAGGAAAAAATTCCGATTGTTGAACCTTATCTTGTTCTGGATGTTTTCTGAGTTCGAATGAAGGATAATGATGAGAAGAAAGATTTCTCTTCGAGAATATAGTAAGAAATATTTATTTTATACTGCAATTTGTTTCGAAAGAGTAAAATGTCGGTTTATGATGTAAAACTGTAAGATTGGACGGTGTAGTTATGCGTAAAACAGAGTCTTCATTCTCATTTACATACATATCCACATCCTCAGGGTGTTTTTGACTTATAGTTGACTCTAATTTGCGAGTATATTGGAGATTTGGAAGAGATAATTTTACCCATAAGCTACTTTAGATAAGACTAACATTCTCTGAAACTTTCAGTTGAAATTGAATAAAAAAAAGTTTATTTCTTGAGGGGAGAAGGGTACCTTAAACACTTCAACTAGCATTATTTGTAAGCCGAGTGTCAACGTTAGAAATGATTTTTCTGTGAGGAAGAAAAAATAGCAATGTTAGAGTATGTTTCATTGAGTCTATGGGCTTTTTTATTTCAAACTGAATTCCAAAATCAAAAAAACCACACCAATTTCTTCCGAATCAAACTTTTCTCGCTTGATACTACGTAGTCTCACTAAAAACCCTTAGTCCCCCCTAGTCCTGCAAAGTCCCCCTTAGTCCCCCCCACAAAAAGCTTAGTCCCCGCTTAGTCCCTTGTGCAGGGGACTAAAGCCTATAGTACACAAAACCACAAGCACACCCTCACCCTCACTCGCGCGCCCACACCCGCACCATGGGTGTGGGTGTGTGTGTGGGTCCCAGACCAACACCCACACCCTCAGTCACCCCCTCCCTCACTCCTAGACTCACGTTTCAGTTTGAAATCAAGTATTATTTTTATTTGATAAATTCAGACTGAAATTAAATAGCCCATAGTATGGTTTCATTACTGGGATCGATTCAATTATTTGTGTTCGATGACACTATAAGGAATTGCTGACAAAACAATTATCAGATGTATTAATCCATCGATTTTGTTTCTGGAACCTTTTCTCTCTTCGTGAAAATACAATTGTTCTACGTTTTTGACAGTTGGAAAGAGCATTGAAGAATGTATATTTGAAGTTGACAAACAATACTTCAAAGACTTACAGTGCTAGAAAATATGTCAATAGAGACTTATGAGAATGCTTGATTCGTATTTAAATAACGTAGATCATCTGTCTCGGAGGCTGTTCTAGTGCGTACACCAACGGAAACCTACCAAGTAGCAGCTTTTCCGGAGTCACGGCTTTTGGCTATTGGGACGATCTGTATATTACAGCAAATACTTCCCAGAATATCTACTATGCTGTTGATGGAACAACGCCTAATCGAACGACAACTTTTGAGTTTTATACAACTCATTTCGGTCAACTCAATCAATATTACCATTTTCAAATAATATTTTATGAAAACTTACCTAATATCGTCAAGTATGTCTATTTCGAGGCATCTGACAAGGGTAGTTCGGCCACAATCGGTGTCCAAAGTAAGTTACATGTGTGACTCTATGTTCGTTGAATCATACTATTTAAATTCTAGAATCGTCAAGTGGACCAAGTATGACTTACTCTGTCAATCAAGCAAATTCAGTAACACGTAACATGACATTAACATTTGATACGAATTCGGGCACGTTTACAGGATAAATACAATCACAGAAAAGTGTACCCATGTGCCTAAGAACTTTTCTTTTTCTTTTTTCTATCTTACCAGTTTTACTCATTCGTTTTATTTTTCTCGTCTACTTTTTTAATCTTTGTTGATCTTCCATAATGTCGCATTTTTCTCGGTGGATTTATTTCTCATTCAACTTTTCTCTCTTTCTTCGGCGTGTACGTGTGTGTAGGAATAAAAAAGAAAGAGCCTATTGGGACAATATTTGTATTTCATTTATGTCAATATTAATTAAATAACATTTCTTCACACTATCTGACGCATAGATAGGGTTCTATTTCCTTTGTCTGGTTCTTCAGCTGAGTGGGTGAGTGTGGATGACCAGAAAACACTCACATGCCGACGTACTCTTCTTCCTCACTCTCCAAAGTGAAATATGCCAAGCAAATACGAATGATATTCAGAGTCCGAAAGCAAGCGAAAAATGGAAATAGGATTGAGTAACTAATATTAATTTTAAATTAATCGTGTGTCATTGCGGTCGATCTTTCTCTGACATCATTACACAATGGTGACCGATCAATTCGTCGCAAAACAATTTGTCGCACATGTATTGTAGAGAATACATTGATTGAATTAAGTGATTTAGTTTAGAATGTTATTTAATTAATCAGCTTAACAAAAATTTTTTCTTTGGACTCTTAGGAATCTTTTTTCAGAATACAATGGTTTTTTCAAAAATAAAAGAGATATCAATTTAAAGCCTATTTTAAAATTTAATCAAAAAAAATTGAAGTTTGATTTTAAATAAAATTCTATGTAAATAAATTAAAAATAAAGTTCATTTTTTCAATTGTAATTTAACTTTTTATTTAAAAAAAAGCTGAAAATTAAAACAAAACTATAAAATCGAAAAAAATTTACAAATCGAAATTAAAAAAAATTAAAGTTTTTATTTACTGAAAACATAAATTTTAATGAAAAAAAAAAGAATTTTATTTTTAATTTGTCTACATAGAATTTTATTTATAAAATCAAACTTTAATTTTTTTTTTTAATTAAATTTTAAAATAGGTTTTAAATTGATATCTCTATTTTATTTTTGAAAAAACCATTGTATTCTGAAAAAAGATTCCTAAGAGTCTAAAGAAAAATTTTTGTTAAGACGATTAATTAGATAACATTCTAAACTAAATCACTTAATTCAATCAATGTATTCTCTACAATACATGTGCGACGAATTGATCGGTCATCATAATATGCCCAACTTTTTGGAATCGTATCGAATAGACTTTCATCTGGTTTACCCATCGATATAACTTTGTATGTTGTTGTTTGTCGTTCGCATTCGCAGCCTTCAGCTTGAATTCTTCTAATAGGTATGTCAGTGTTTTTCTTAAAATAAATTTCGTCACATGGATACTGGTCACGACCACAGACTCGACATTGGACATTGGAATACCAGTAATCTTTCGTTACCGTATCATTGCTTGAATGTATCATTTCATAGTCAAATTTGATGTAATTTTCAATTTTAAATGAAGTACTATTATGACACCAATGAAGAGAAAATGAATTAAAACAATTGCCCCCATACTTCCAATATGTTTCATATATACAATCGCTCGGCGAAACGGATACACATAATTGAACATAATGTTTCGATTGTGGTGAAACTGAAATTGGATATGGAAAATTTTTCATCACCAATGAGTATTGTTTTCCGGTATAAACACCGGTTTGATAAGCTCGCAAATTTAGTTCATCGATTGCCATGATTGTTTGATCATCATCAATAGAAAATGTGATCTGTGGAGGAAAATATGGTTGTGTACAAAGTGTTACTTGAACGCTCAACAGAAATGACATGAACCATGATAATGCCGTCGTAAACATTTTGATTTCTAAAAGAAAAATATTTATCGATTGATTTGAATAAAATATTATTCTAGAAACAATTATGATAATGAAAGAAGCAGAACTTGTGAAGAAGACCTTCACAGAAGAAATGTCCAAATATTTGTCAAGAAGCAAATTCAACCAAGGTGCACTAAAAAAACTATGCAGATCCGGATGCATACACACTTGAAATTTCATCTAATGAGAACAGATCAGATTTCAAAGATACTTGAACAAGAAAAAATCATTACAATCAACAAACACAATTTAGAACTAGAAATTCAGAGTTTGATGATTATCAGTAAACTTCTATATATCTTTATATTCCATAGTGTTATGACAGGCTTTTCATCAGAGATACTCAGCCTCGCTAATTTTAAGAAAAACAAGAGTTCACAGCGTGATAAAAAGATATTCATTGCTATGTCACATATAGGCTCCTCAAGGAAAGTAGCAGCGTTAAGGAGTAAGGAAAAATAATCTTTATCTTCCATTTGGAAGTGTGATTGATGACAGATAGTCTTCAGAAAACTTGATTATATGAAGCTCTCATGGAAAGACATTCTTGAAAATATTACTTATTCACAATTCTTATACTTTTTTTAAACAAATTTTGCTTCACAAATTAGATTTTTTAAAAGTGTTCTGACTAAATAATTTTACTCTAGTTCATTTCAATTTTTAGTATTATTCAAAGACGTAAGACTAACTAATGACACCCGTAACAGATTCGAAATACGTCAAGTAGGTAACAATTCAATTCAATACTCATCTTTGCTCAATAATTCTCTACTTAGACAAGTACAGAATTGATTGAGCTACCTAATATAATTGTTGGATCACTGTTCAAAAAAATATTTTGATCCAAGGGAGTAAGATATTAATGAAATTTTCTGAAAAGATATCATTGGTTTTAGACAGTTCATATTTAAAACCAGAACCCAAAATATATATTTTTCAGGAATTATCGTACGAGAAGTTTCAAAACGAAGTTCAAACTCATCGGCAGAGTCAAATAGAACCAAATTTTAAAATATGTCATATTTGTTTTATGTAAAATCGAGCAGAAAGTATTAACAGATGAATTTTATGTTCGTTTGAAGACTGTCTCGGAGTCTCAAGCATTTACAATGCCAGAGAAATCTCATACGCATTAATGACTAAAAGGAAAAAAATCTAACATTGAGAACAATTCAAAAGTCTTAACCTTAAAATTCTTTTTTTCTTGGATCGTTCTATAGTGATTTAGGAGATACCATGTAGATGGAATATATGGCAAACATTTCTCAATACGTGCCGGGTATATTCTCGATATCTAAAACTATAGACAAGCTCGCAGAATGTATATGCATGAAGTTTATAATCACTTTTTCTTGTTGTACCTTTTCCAAAAAAAAAATGTCTATAAAATCATTGTTCCATTAATAAATCGTAGTGTGTTTCGAAAGAGAAAAAATGGGCAGTATTAAATCCTGTAATGAACTCGAAAATCGATCTCTTTGACGAAAATGAAATTATTGAGAGTAGCTCATCGTACGATTGAAACGCTTGATAGCAATTAAACTCTTTATTCGTCGTGTTCAAGCGTTTTTCAAGGTTAACCATTACGCATCTTCCACCATTTCATACCAGAAAACTATCACCACCATAACATGTAGTCTGAAGATGCCAATAGTTTTTTTTTGGAAAAATGACCACGAAACTGTTACCTTATTGTGAAAAATATAAAGACTATACCAATTTTTATACACTTTTCGTCTACTACCATTAGAAAAGTGTAAGGATGTAATTTTAAACTCAATGTTTCATTGTACAAGAACTCATAAGAAAATTGATAAGTTGTTTATCAACTATTCCGATGATCAGACTATCTATATAGTAAAAACTGTTTGCAAATATTGATGTCTTGATAATGTCAACGTTTCATCTGATGAATGAAACTTATGGTTTTACGGTTGAGTCGTAGTATATGAAGTGGGATAAACGTGTCAACTATCTGTACTCAGTGTAATGTTCGTGCTGCTTCTATTTAGTCCTGTGTGAAAGACACTAGTAGTTCTAATTTAAAATTCCTATCAGTTTTCATGGTGAATTTTTTCGACCTATTTAATTTATCGTCTTCCGATCTGTTATTTGGTTTTAGATATGTGTCATAGAAAGTATGATAAACACATACAAAACAAAAATGTAAGACTAACAAGGCAAGAATGATGATAGCCATTTATCATTTCTCCATAGATAATCGTAAAGTAACAGAGCAAATAAACAAAACTGCTTTTGTGACATTGTCTTGGCTTGTTTGTGTCACTATCAGAGGAAAAGTTGATATGAAATTTGATATTCTGAGTTGAGTTTGACAATTTTATTTTTTATTATAAATAAACTTGAAAGAAAACTTTCTGTCAAAAAAAGAAATAAAACTATGATGGGCATATGAAAACTGCATAGAAATTTAACTTGTATATGAAATATAATAAAATATCATTGTTTCCCTACATTTCCATCAGAATTGAGATTGTGAGTGAAAACAACTGTTATGCTCAACATTTTATCCCTACTGAATAAATTGTCGGATGGTGAACATATTGATGATATCAAAGAAAATCATAACCGCATCTAGTGAAAGATTTTTATGTAGCTTCATTCAAATGAACCAAGTCACAGGATGTCAATTTCAACTTTCAGTGGTGATTTGGTTTTTGTCGTTAGTTGTTTTTTTTTCTGTGAGAAGATTTGTTCATCTTTGATTCTTCTGCTGCATAATATAGATCTTTTTTTGTTTTTTTATAGAATGACGTTCAACAGATATTTGTCAGTTAAGAAATAGAGCAAGATAGGAAGTATTCTTGAATAAATGAAATGAGCTCAAAATATGGATTGATCAATTCAGCATATGCTTAATCGTTAAGTCGGGTATTATTTTATCATTATTTCACTTTGAAAAGTAAAGTATATATTCTTTACTTAATTCATTTCAGTTAAATTAGTTTACTTTAGTTTACTCAAAAAGTAAAGTGAATAACAATATTTTGACTTTAGTTCTTTATTTTATATAGTTTATTATACAAACTTGACGATAAATCCAGCATGTATACTAAATAGAGTACAATAAGAATGAAAGATTTTAATGAAAACATTAATGACACATTGGAGGCCGTGATACAATGGGCATAAATGAAGCTGCTGAATAATCAGTTTTGATCATATGTCGAAATTGATTTTTGACAGATTCATGCCGATCAGTCTAGAATAAAACTGAATAGTTATACAAAAAAAAACTTTAACTTATTTACCACATTTTCGTTAGCCGGCATCTAAAGTTAAAAAAATAAAACAATGAATATCACTATATATAAGTTAGCGTCCAATCTCCGATCTATCTAGGTTAATATACAATGTCTCTTTCGACGCGTCTACGCTGAGATCAGATATCGAAGGGTGTAGGGTGAAGAGAACAAGTAAATCCACACTAGTGCTCGGCATGACTGCCGTAACTCTATGACTAGAAGTTGATCAGAGACGGTTATGGATTCTACATTAGTCACATATCTTTTGTCTATGTTGACTGCATTAGTTTTTCTACAACACACATTCTTCGTCTTGATTTCTAATTTCTTCTGTAAGAAAAACATAAAAACAAGTAAATCAAATCAAATTAATTATGAACATCATTCAATACAAAAGATCGCGACTCATGATAAATTAAAGAGAATGACTATAATCTAAAAAATATGGACACGCCGAGCACTTATCCATACGCACACCCTTTGTTTATTATAACTGTTCAATCCGATAATGATCTGGATTAATGTCCATCTAATATTGGATCTCAGATTGAATGCTAACATGTATGTAAACAAAATGAAAAATAAAAATAACTTACCATAAGATGCATATACATCCGACGTTTACGTGATTTCGATTGACTTTCTTCATGCGATGTATTATTTGGTGATTCTGATGAATTCATGTCGATTTCTCGAAAACCAAATTTAAGAACATGATGTGGAAGACGCCTAGATGAAAAAAAATGAATAAATCAGAAGAGTTATTGACACAAAAAATGTTTTTGCTACATTTTTGAACCACGAATAGGTGGTAAAAATCTCTTGTTATGATGATCACGACAGACAAATGTTGTATAATTAGAATCCTTTATGGACTGCTCATCATCTGTGTTTGGTAGCGATTGCTTTACATCACTAAATAAAAAACCGAAGATACTTTGATTGAAAACAATTCTCTTACTTTTGTTTAATCGAAGTATATTCAGCAGTTAATTCATCCTAAATTTAATTTTAAGAATAATTTAAAAGACTTGGAAGATTATCATACTTGTTTATTATTATTACATATTGATGCAATGTGTTTAACAATTGGATCATTCCAAATAACAGGAATAAGATTTTGTGGTATTCTTGTATGAAGTAATGGAATAAATTTTGGATAAGCTTGAATAATTTTTTGAAGACAATTTTCGGAATTGAGTGCTCCTTGAGACTTTAATACTAAATATATAATTATAACTTAGAATTTCTATTTATAGAGAACAAGACAAATACATACATTGAATAAGAAGCCAAGCATGTGTTACGTCCATCTGTTTAGAATTTGAGAGATGTAATGTTGTTGATGAAACTAGTTTTGATTTTTTGTGTTCTCGATTATTTTTCATAAGATTTGATAATGCACCTTCTATACTTTGAGCTTTGTGAATATTGATACCTGGAAAAGATTATTATAAATATAAAACCCATCTATGCATTAGATTTTCTTCTTTAAATTTGAAAGACCAACAGCATTATGATTAAATTTTTAAGCTCTTACAAAAACTATTGATAGCATTTAAGATCACTGACTACAGATAAATATCGCAATCTTTTGTCACTCTGAATTTCAGTTTTGTTTATTGAACTTGAAAGAACAATTCAAAAGTTGACTAGTCTTGTAATACTAGAAGTTTTTTCTTGAATCATTGGAAGTTTTACATTTTATTAATCGTGTATGATTTCAAAAGTCATACCGTTTGATACATGCTAAGTAACTTACTAAAAGTTTATTTCATTAAGTAAGGATCTAGTTGCATGTCTCAATTAGTGACCTACGATCACTATTCCATATGATTATCAACCGAAATATTATAATATAGCTAGTCAATTAATTTTGAATCCAAATTTGATAGGTTCTATTAAGTATAAAAGTACAAGACTAACTCTTAAAAAGTTTAATAGAACCGAGTTGATTCTTGTAAAATTTGAATTGATGACTTTTAGATTCGGTCTGAAAAATTCAGACTAGACGAGTTCTGGTGACGAATTATTGAATCTCAAACATGTTACTCATCAATATTCCGTCAGTCTTATCTAATTTCAGTAACAAATAACTTATTATTCGTAGACGAAATCTGACACTCGTTCACATAACATTCCACTATGCCTATTCGCTTTCTTATTGATTTATATATTCATATTGATCCATTGGTGATACGTTTCACTTTACTATAATTCATAATATTTGATAAGAAATCTATACCTTCTTTTGCAGCTTTCTTTTGTGCAATCGATTGAATATGAGCAAATTGTCTTGATGTTGGTCGTTGATGAATAATATATGGTAGTTTTGTTGGAGAACTTACATGGAATTGATATGCGTTTGATGTTGAATGTATTTGCATTGGTGAAATACTTAATGCTTTTGCAAAATTTCCTGTCGATGAACCTGGAATAATTTTTTCATGTTGTCTATGTACTTGTAAAGCACGAACAACAAGTGATGAAAGTAATTGTACAAATTCAACTTCATTTAATTGATTTTGATTATGATTTAAATTTGATAAATTCATTGTATTTTGTGTATGTGATGAATCTTGATTAATAATCATATGTGATTGATCACAAAAAATACTACCCATAGAAATTTTTTTTGGAATAAGTACACGACGGTTCGGTAGCATACGATAAAAACCAATAGTTTGTTTATGTTCTTCAAGTATTCTTTGAATTGGATCAGTGATTTGTTCTTGATTATTATTGAATATTTGTCGTTCAAGAAAAAAATTTTCTTGAAATTCATCAATGTCTTTTTGTTCAATAGTTTCTAAAAGTAATAAAATGATAAATAATATTAGATTTAGGTTGTTTTTTTTTATTGACTAATTTAGTACCGTTTTGTTTTGCATATGAATCCCACATATCTGTATTATTTGGTAAAAGTGATGAACTGAAAATCAAAGAAAACATACATAGACGAAGATATATTTTAGTATAGATATACCGTCTCGTTTTTGTTTCACTTGGTACTCGTTCTTTTCTGGATTTTGAAACATCTGATGTATCGAAAGTTCGTTTTTCATTAATTTCTACACGAATTGTTGGTTCCATATGTGTCATTGATGAAATATGACTTGATGGAACACTGAATTGATTAGGTTCAGCTTGAGCTGGTATAGAGGAACTATTTATAACTGCTACTTGTTCAATAACTTGAGACGAAGATGAACCAGAACTAACTCTAGAAGTAATATCGTCATTATTTTCTTCATTGATATGTTCTTCTATTTGTAATGATGATTGATTCTCAGGTGGTGGTGTTGGTACACGATTTTTTTCTTGTAAATAATTTTGAAGACTAAAATTTTCGTCGGGTAAAGTCTAGAAAAACAACAAATCATATTTAAATATTTTAATCCATAGTGTAAATTTTTTACCTGTATATATGAAATATCATTTGCACAATCGTTTAATACTGTATCGGACATAATGCCTGTTAATTTTTTTAAGGATTCACCACATTCAGTTCGAACAAGAATCTATATAATAAGATTATAATAAAGAAAAATTTACTGAGTAAGAAAAAGAAAAAGCAAAAAAGATATATACTCGAGAATCGTTTAAAAATGAATTTAATAATGCAATATCAATAGCTTTTGTTTCTCGACCTAGATTAACAAGAGTTGAGGCAGCTATTAATCGATAATCAGCATCATTGTGTGATAAAAGTAATATTACGGCATTTGAAACTCGATCAAATTGTTCATTCGAATAACCAATAACGCTAGAAAAAGAAATTATTTTTTTTTATAAATATATGAAATGCTGTTTAAATTAAAAATAGTTTTATTATTTATAAATGCAATTTTTCTCGAAGAGAAAATATGATAGTAGATATTTGAGAATAATTTCTATGGAATTTAAATATAAAACACGATAGAATTATTTTAATCTTACAAAAAAACTATCCCAACAGATCTTCATCGTTTGAGGTCACATGTGACATAGGCTTGTTTTTGGAAATTCAACATCTTAAAGAAGGGATATTCTTTTCAGCTGAAATTTTAAGAGTAGTCTAAGAATCATTAGACTTATCTATAGGTAAAATTTTTAATCGAAATTCTATCATTTGAATTTTTTGGGAACTACTTACAAATAAATCGAAAATCTACTAAAATGTCAGTGACCAATTACTGTTCGAATTAGATCATTAGACTTCATTCCGGCTGCTGGCCACTCACTCAAAACTCGATATTATCGATTGCCTATAGCATCATGCAATGCAGTGTGTATCTGAAAAGTTTCTTTTTCTTATTCAGAGTTCCTGTAATTTGACTAATATATCAAATAAAAACTTTTCCCTCTCTCTAATGGCATACAGAAGTAAGAAAAATTTTCTTTTTGCTTTGAAATGACATTATTCGCTTGAACGTATAATTTGAGATCATCTATAACAAAACTATTTCAGCATTGAGCTGTGAAAGCAGCAAGTCACTTTGAACTATATATCATTCGATAGATTTTTCATTACTCTACAAAACAGTAATATTGCGTTGAATGTAATTGTTGGGTAAAATACTTTAGTGGAACATACAGTGTTCATGAATGTCGAAAGTTATCCTTCAGACTAATATGTAATTGGTTTTAGTCAGAATAATCAGACAATCTATCAGAACATCTAATTTATTTGGGATTAACATGAAAAATTGAGTCGGCTTACGTGGAAAACACAATGCATCAAAAGTCTCGACTGATTGTATTTTTTAACGTAACCCTACTCAATTTTTTATGCTGATTCCAAACAAATCATATGTTTTAATAGATAGTCTAATTATTCTGACTAAAATTAATTACATATTAGTCAAAAAGGGTAACTTCTGGTACCTATGAACGCTGTGCGTTTAATTAAAGAGTCTCATCTACAAATTAAGCTCAAGACAATAGTGTCGTTTTGTAGAGCTTTGAAAAATCTATCGAATAATATATAATTTACAGTGAATCGCTGTTTTCACAACTCAATACTGAGAAAGTTTTGTCATAGATGACCTCATATTATATGTTCAAGCAAACGATGACATCTGAAAGCAAAAAGAAAAATTTTTCTTACTTCTGTATGCCATTAGAGAGAGAAAAGAAAGAACTTTCATTTGATATATTAGTCAAATTAAAGAAGCTAACGTAGGAAAAGAAACCTTCCATATAAATATTGAATTGCATGATGCTATAGAAGATCGATAATATCGAGATTTAAGTGAGCCACATGCAGTCGGAATAAAGCCTAACGGTCTGATCCGAACGACGCCCAACTTCTGACATCATAGTTGACTATCGGAAATATAAGAAACTCAATTGCGAGGGAGGAAAGAGGGCAACATCATCGCTTAATGATCTTTCCTTGTTTGTTTATTAAGAATTGTAGAGATGGAAAGAATACCTTTGAAATCTAAGGTACGCATTTAGAAGAAACTTACAATCTCGAACAACTTTTAAAATAATATCGGATTTCATTTATATGATATCACATGTATGAACTATACTTTTGCCATAGAACTTAGTATATTTTAAATTGAATATAGTCAGTTTCTCTTCAATTTCCGATCATGCTTTTCTACTCTAACAAATCTTAGCATAAGTCTCAGTGCTAATTTATCAAATTGAATCTATTTCGGAGCTTTTTACATTGAAATAATTAACTACTAATGAATTCAAAAAATAGAAAATTTACTTATGTAATTGAACAAGATGTGTCGTTAATGTTTTAAGCGTATTTTTTGTTGCACTTGGTAATTTCTCTATAATTGCATCAAGTACATAATCAAGGGTAAGTGAAAAACTTCCTCGAGGAAACCATCGTTCTTCGGAAATTTTTTTTAATAATGGATGTATTCCATGACTTTCTTCGTCTTCATTACCATTTTCTTTGACACCTTTTTTCTTATTTTCAATATCTTGTATAATCATTTTTAATGAAAAATTATCTTCAGGAGAATTCTTAAACAAAAAGATAATAATTTCATAAATTAACAATAAATTAGTTTTACATACATGAACAATAGACATGTCGTCAAGAACTAAATCAATATCATCGGAATTATTAACATCAGTAATAAATTTAATTGCATTAATAGCTTCTTGTCGAATATCATCGGTCTAAATTTAAAAAAGAAATTTTCTTTTTTTTTTTTATTAAATTTTAGTTTCAATTGTTTTACTGGTTGACAATTAAGTAGATATTCAAGTAGTCGAATAACAATATTTTTTCGTTCAATCATAAATTCAGCAATTGTACGAATTGTGTATACATCTAAAGGATCATGTTCATCTGTTATTAAATGATTCAGAAGAATATCAAGAATTTGATCGACAAGCATTGGCTCGATACCGGTAGTTCTTCAAAAAAAAACCAAACAATAAAAATTTAAAAAAAAAAAGAATAATTATATACCGAAATATTTCAGTAACATAATAACATGCTGATTCATATGAATCAATTTGTTTTAATTTAAAAATTTCAATTAAATAAATTAGCATAGAACGAAGACTATGTTTGACATCTTTTGCTTGTTTCCACCAAGGTTCATTTTGCATTCGTTTATATATATCTGGCATAGTATCCTAGAGATATTTATTTACAAAATTTCTCAAAATATAAAATAATATTAGTAAACACTCAAGTGGTCAAAAACATTGTTTCTCTTTTTTTCAGATAATTAATATAAGCATCCCCTATTATATAAAACTACCTGATTTCAATATATATTATTTGTAATGTCTTTCGAGAAAAAAATCATCATTAAACTGTATCAACAAACCAAGAAAAGAAGTTCTTATTCAATAACGCTTACTTTTTTATTTGATGCAAATGTTCCTAATAATACAAAAAATAATTAAGCCTAATAAAAAAAACAACAATTAAATAAAATAAACCTTTCGATTGTTTTTCATTCGCTGGTTTTGATGCATCATCAGGATGTTCAATATCTATCCATTCATCATCATCTTGATCATTGGGATTTTTATAATTCATATTCTAAAAGTGAAGAAATGACTCTGAATCAGTTCTTTATCAAATTACAAAATCATGCTGAAGGAATTAAGTGACATAAGGTAATTATCAAACAAAGATGTCTATCGTGGTTCAAAACTTGCCACTGCCGCGATGGTCTTCAAAAACAATATTTTGAATTTTACTGCTAAGACTATATTGAATTAGACCTGTCGTTACTTATCCTTGAGATTCATCAAGTCTCCAATAGTTTTACTTGTGCATCATGCAATTTTGCAATATTCTTGAAGAAAAAAAAAAAGTTGCCGTCACTATACCACTATCATGATGATATTTTCAAAACATTCTCCACGCTCTGATAGAAATCTTTATTATCTAACAACAAAAAATGTGTAATAGAATCCGTTTAAATATTGTTTATATCTTATTGACTTTTTGACATTGTTTTGTAAAGAAAATAAAAATATTGTACGTATTTGAACACATGTAAAAAAAATTAAAAAAAAACAACGCTCATAAGAAAATAAAGGCTCAGAGTAAATATAATCATACCTGAAGGTTGTTAAGTATATCCTAAAGTAGAAAAAAAATAGGCGGATGAATAATATTGACTTATTAAAATTTTATATGTATATATATACCAATCTTAATTGAAATGCTTTTATTTCAACTGGTTTTGTTTGTTTTGCTTTGAACACTCTACGAAAAATTGAATTAGGTATTAAAGCTAAACATAATAATAATATTTTTTTATTGTTATATGAAAACAATCGAATGATGAATTACTATCAGGTGCAATTAAAAATGATTTTTTCTTTTTAAACATATAATCCATTTCAATTCGAGCTTTTTCTTGTTTGTACAAATCTGTATAACGTAGAGGAACTGGTTCTTCTGATCCTAAATCAATAGACATATACAATATGAATATATGTCAATAGTTTAGTAAAACAAACCTGTTGGAATTGTTCTCTCATATTGACGTACTGATTTGGCCGATCCGATTAATGTTCTACATATAGAAATAAATGAACTGAATACAAATTAAAATTGTTATATCTAGATCTTACTTGCCGCTACTAGTTCGTCGCTTTTTTCGTAGTGTAGCATAGGAAGGTGAAGAGATTTTTGGATGGATCATTTCTTTTTCTTTTTCTTAACAAGCTACCTTCTAATGAAAAAAAGAAGAAAATGAATGGCAAGTAGGTAAGAAGGCATTGCAAACACTCGAAGTTGTTGATGATGTTTTAATAACTTTGTTGACTTTCTTTTTTCTCTGTTGTATCTATGCTTGATCAACTTATAATTTAAGTAAAAAACATCTGTGCACATACATCTCAAGTATTCATTTCAAATAGAAATACAGGAACACAATGACTATAGTTTTTAATCAGAGAACATCAAAGGCTATCAATTGCCTGTAATGTTCATACAAGATCAAGCAAATATTTATATGATATCATTTGATTGATCAATTTTTTTTGTGTTCAATATTTTTCAATTAGAAACGAAAAAGTTAGTCTTTCTTTGATTCACAAGGAAAAAAATCAAGTATAAACAATAGTGTTTTTTTCGAATAAACCAATCGAACAAGTCTAGGTGTGAGAAGCCTCATTAAAATCATTGTCGTCACTGAAAATTTCATTATAGATGCCAACTAATTGAAATTCATTTTATATAATAGAAAAATTCGTTGAGATCATTCGAAAAGAAAAATAGCATTTCATCATTTGCATTTTAATCTGAAACTTGAAACTAAACACCGCCCATGAGTTGCTGACTCATTCAACAACAAAAAAACAGTTGAGTTGTCAATAAATTATGCACATGAAACGTGTAAAATATGAACTAAATTATCAGAATGATCTTAACAAACGAATATGACTGACAAATGAATAGAGAAATAAAGAAATTGCTAGAAAGAATCATTTCGTACATTCATAATTTGCAAATACCACAAGTTTATATAGAAACGATTATAGATATATCAAAACAAACCTATTCATAACTTTGATCAATAATTTTATTGAATTATCTAATGAGATTGATTACTTTTTTAATATTTGACTTTAAAAAAAAAATTAACTGCCTCCATAAATAATCGAGATAACAAAGTTATCATAATTTTTATTGTAAAAGTTCTAACGCAAAAAAAAGGACGCCAATTAAACGTAAGTAAATTAGCACTGGATTTGACCTTTTCTTGTACAGATTCGTTCTACGACTTGTGTTGATTCTCAAAGTGATTATGATGGATACACAACTAGCTGCTTTATTGCATGTAGGTATTTTAATTAGGAACAAATTGAACAAAACCTAGAAGTTTCACTATAAAGTTATTCTGAGCTAAGTCATTTTTAAGATATATTCTAGGGAGACTCTATTGGCTGCTCGGTAATAATAGAGTGACGTCTTTTTATTTTCAGAAAAGCGTGGATTGGGTCATTCTTTGAAAACATTTTGGTAAACATTCATTTGAAAAAATGAATATAAAGCAATACTTCGTTCAATCACTAATGAAACATGAATTTTTAGGAACAAGCTGGATTCGCTTTGAGTTTTATTCGTAAATTCTCATCTCCTCATGTGTAACAGTTCGATCTTCGCTTTTCACGCAAAAGTAATGATAATAAATTTATAAATCTTAAAGGTTAACAATCTTATTATTATTGTCTTTTGAAAAGTATAATAACACAGACAAAGGCCATAAACAATACGAAATATCCAAACGACACTCGTGGAGTTGCTTCATCGCACAGATCTCTGTTACAGCATCATGTACCAAAACCATCAGCATTGACTTCTACGCAAGATCTAGTTATATCACGTTTAGTAGCAACGTTTCGAGCAGTTATTTTCTATATTCAATGTCAAGGCATACAAGCGTATACTAACAGAAAGGTGAACTTACTCTACACGAGAAACCACTGCCATTAGGTTCCTCAACTATTCTTGTATTATTTAGGTTGAATGGATTGTTGCAACTTGCACATTCGTAACACCTGAGACCATCCCCAACTTTAGCCAATATTACAATAAATGAGATGCCTTTAAAAAAACTAGGACACACTCTCTTTGATTTTTCTCGGCAGTGCTTATTCGACATTGAACGTACCAAATAGGACGAAGCAGACAATAGTAATACATCGCAGAGTAGACATGTTTCTGATATGCTCCTATATCGATAGAATTGATTTGATTCAAATGAGATGCCATAATATAATACATGGTTTTTATATCAGTACACTGCAACTGGAGAAAAAAAAATCAATATATATTTAAGGAAATTTGAAACAGTTGTTTATGATTTTGACGCTCTTATCTGAAATCTCTTTATATCAAAGAGTTCACTATGATACCATTGGATAATATTGCGTTCGATAAGTATTTATTTTCTTTCTAAGCCATATCGAATATCTTTTTTTCGAATAAATCATATGATTAGGCGTTGTTTAAAATAAATTGGTAACCAAGATTGCTGTCACAAACAGATCCAATGATTGGACTAAATACGATATCGGGGATATTTTGTCCGCTATGGCATCTGTACCTATAGAATATTGTTTGTCATCATATTGATACATACATGAAATGTTTTCCTATGAAATCGTCTCATTTGAAGTAGATGTTCATGGTCACATAAAGCAAAATGATATGGTTTTTCTCTATCAAAGTAACACGAGAGTTTGGAATACAACTGTGATCAGAATGCGTTTGTCCAATGATGCAAACCGTCAATTTTCAAAATGCACTATTTAATGGTATGAATGAAAGAAGATAGAATATTCAAAGGTGATTCGAATGAGATTTGGTTCTGTTCTTGACAACAGAAAATTTCACTATACATATCTATGAAATATTTGATAACTTGGGAAAAAACATTTCTGAAATTCATATTCTTAAAAGATAGCTTACAACTTGTTTCTTATGAATTTTATGTTGCTTATCAACGTTTGAAGAAAATGCAGGTGTAACTATGAGGAGTGAAAAAAGAATCGCGTCCATCATCGATATTATGTTTCTCTATTGCTTTCGACCATTATGCAATGCAGGTGCATCATGAATACCATAATCTTACTCCAACCAATCCTTTAATGGCAGTCCTTTACTAACATAAAAATCTTCAATTCATAAATGTACTAATATACTAATTTAGTTTTTGGGTTTGCATCAACAACTAAAGTGCATCATAAAAACCAGTTTTGACTTGATGGATCCTATTTAAACTCGTGCGATCCAATAGAGTCAAATACTCATCTTAACAGGAGCATTGTGAAAAGCCTATACAAATCGTAGAAACGAGTTTGGTAGTAACTTTACACAAGTTAAAAGACAAGCTAGATGATATTCAATTCTACCATTTTGATTCTCACTTAAAAACGTGGTGACAAAAATCAAAGCAATGATTCTGATTCACGAATTCTACTTATTAGCCATAAGATTTGCTTCATAAGTTTTGAAGTAATCTGAAAATGTATCGTTCTCTCACTTAACAAAAGCAAACTATGTGAAACTTTGACAGATTAGTGTACCTGCATAGTACTAGATAACTACAAAATTTGAGGTCTTTAGCTTTTACAATGAATCAGAATTTATAGTGATGTCATCATCTTTTTTTTTTAATTTTCTGTATCATATTGATAATTATTTTTAAAACAATACAATTTATCCAAATAAAAGCAAACACATTAAACTATCAATGTTCATGCATTTCATTATCGTTCTATGCAATTCCTAACTTTAATTGTGCTGATATTTTATATATCATTCATTGGTATGACGACACAATAAGTTTCTTCAATTTCTTTTTAATGTTGTTTGTCAATTTTTAATATTGTTGTATGCCTACCCGCGTAATTTCTTTTTTAATGTACCCTACACATTTTCTGTAGCTAGACATACCTTTGTTTTTTGATCTTGCTGATATTTGAAAAACAACGTTTCGTAAATCATCTATTTTTTTAGCTGCTTTTTCTGTTACAGTAGTTTGAATGAACTTTGCATGTCTATCACCAGTAAAATGTTGTTTCCTACAACCATTTCGTATTGAGGAGTTAATGTAAATTTAGCACTAAAATCAGTTGAATATATACGGTTTTGGTTATTGTACAAAGTGTACCTCATTTTGGTAAGCTTTTTTTGTTCTTTCTCTTTATTATTCTGAAAATTTAGAACCATAAAACCTTTGTCGTTATATACCGAGGTGCACTTTTGAACTGAAGAAGAAATTTTGTTCTTCATTTTTCTTTTCATGTTGGAAGTAACTTTATTAAATCTGATACCAAAGGAGGAAATTTCTTTATTTTATCTTTAGCTAACGTTTAATATGACATTCTTTTTTGATTTCGTGTTAGTGGACAAATGTTGACCGTTATATATCTCTTCAATGGACACGCGCAAAAACCAAAATGTGTTTGTGAAGAAAAAGTTTTCTGCTGCTTTACATGTTGATAAAGAAGGCGTTTGCAAATACCATTTGTTGTCCATTTTTATATCGAATTTTTCTAATTTGAAGTATTAGAAAATTGAGAAATTAGTACATGATAGTATTGTTACAGATTCTCATCCATATTAAAATTTAAAGACCTCGAGCTTTGAAGCTATTAAGTGGTAAGTAGCTGCACCAACCTACCAAAGTTTCAAAAAGTTTGTTTTTGTTCAATGAGAGAATGCTGTATTTTTAAAATTGTTTTAGAACTTCTAGGACAATTCTCTTATCTCCATAAGTTCAGAAACACTGATGTTGATGATTTTCCAAAGTTGTAGCTTGATCGGTTTACGCTTTTCATACTGTTCTGATGGCGACTGCGGTAAGTTAATCCAACACTACCTATTATCCTGGATATCTTGGATACTAACTTTTATCTGCCTAAAAATCAAAAACTGCACCTACGGAACGTTCATAAACTTTTTCTAGCTATTGAATTTTCGAGGACGACTTTGAAATTTTCTAGAATTTTCCAGAGCAATCTATGTCTGATTATTAATGCAGTTTGGTTCGTTGCGGAACTCTGAGAAAAGAGTTTGATACCTATTGTTCTCAATTCCTCTGGGAGCGCCATTCATAATCATTTACTTTTCTCCTCTCTCGCAATATCCGAGCAGACAAACTTTTGACAAGACGCGTTTCAACGCTCAAAC